CAACTGCAGGGAAATGCCTGCTTTTTGATGGGTCCCTGCTGCCACTTCAGCCTCATCTCTCTTCCATCTTCTGTCCCCTTACCTCTTCCTTGTCCCATACTTGAGCTCCCTGCAGTTCCTAGAACCGGTTGTGTTCCTTAGGTGTTATGTGCTGGTCCCTGCTGTTTTTTAAGTTCCAGCTGGTAGCTCCCAAATTCCCCTAGCATTGCTTCCTTTGGCCAAGCCCCGTGGACCCTCAGCTTGGGTCAGCCTCCCCTCTTCTGGCCCTGGGTCCTGGTCCTCACCTCACTGATACTGTTGCTGCTTGATTACCTCTCTAGACTGGAAAATCCTCCAGTGAAGGAGCTTGAGCTTTGATCCATGGAACTGCACACTCGTAGGTGCTCAGTGAGTGTATTTATTTATAGAGACAGGGTCCTGCTCTGTCACCCAGTCTTGCTTTATTATTTATTTATAGAGACAAGGTCCTGCTCTGTCTCCCACTCTGGAGTACTAGTAGGTGCCCCCTATGTATATTTATTTATTTATAGAGACAGAGTATTTATTTATAGAGACAAGGTCTTGCTCTGTTACCAGGTTGGAGTTCAGTGGTGCGATCACGGCTCACTTGCAGCCTTTACCTCCAGGGCTCAGATGATCCAACTTCCCAGTTAGCTGGGATTACAAGCAGCTGCCACCACAAACAGCTAGTTAAAAAATATATATAGATGGGGGGGGTCTCACTATGTTGTCCAGGCTTGCCTCGAACTACTGGCCTCAAGCGATCCTCTCTCTTCAGCCTTCCAAAGTGCTGGACTGCAGGCGTGAACCCCCGCGGAGGGCCTCGATGAAGTGTCTACTGAACTAAGGACACCTGTGAAGTCTGAGTGAGTGAAAGGATGGATGGATCGATGGGGATGCACCGGCTCGCAGTGAACAGCAGGAGGCGCTGGCCGCAGTGTGCGCCTTTGGTTGAAGCTCCCCTCCCTCCCCGCCCCCCATCGCGGCGGCCCCCAGCGGGAGGAAGGGGCTAGGGCTGGGGAGGGGAGGCGCGCGGGGCTTTGCCCCCCGCAGCGGAGCACCGGAGGAGAAAGGGGGCGGCCGGGGGCAGAAGGGG